ATTAAAAAAATATCATACATCACTTGTATGAGATGAAATTTTTTCTACTACAATATGTAAAGTACAAAGTAGAGTACGCATACTTGTGAAACCACTTTAAAAATAAGCATCAACTACGCCACCTCATACGTGACGTGGAAACATGTGCCTAGTACGTGGAAAAAAAACTTTAGTACATTTCAGAAACATTTCTTTGAAATATGTATTATGTAAAAATGTGCTGAGACCATTTTGACATATTTGTTGATTTCCTATACTTGTTTCACTTATTTATATCATTACATTACCTATTTCGCTAAAAAAAAGAAGAAAATAGTTCTGTAAATAAAAATTTGCAAATAGTTCTGTTTTAAACATGTCTGATTAAAACCTACTCCTATTTCAATATAACGTAACTGTAACACCTATAAAAATTATAATATAATATGAGTTTATGCATAGCTTAATATTTAATTTTGTCAGAATGATATGTTTTGATTATATTTGATTTTATATTTATATTTTACCCGTTTATATGTAGGTTGGACTTTTTTTTAAGAGGTGTCAATAACAAATATGTTCAATTAATAAGCTTCGACAGCTTGTGAGTGAGTGTGGGATAAAGTGAATGGGATAGGGAACATCGCTAATAAGAATGTGAATTCAGATTTTTTTTTAATAATTTCAATAACGATTTTATAATTTTTAATATTTTATTATTTTCTATTGTAAGTCTTGTACAAGAGTATCATTCAATTACGAAGTTGCAGCAAGAATAATTAATAACACATAATTAATAAATTATGATACAAGACAGAAATTAATATTTTAGAAATACCAGAAATTACGTATGAGTTTAGTTGATTAAATAATGAATATCTAGTGTATTAGAATAAATTAATTTGTTATAATTCAGAAATGAATCGTAAAGCATAAGTTGTATTAAAACTGAAAAGTCTCAAGCAGTCCCTACTTTATTACCCTCTTTTGGGTTAACTAGACAGACCCTCAGGAATAATTTGCAGTTATAGACAGTTTTACAGGTTATTACGATAATAGTGTAGTACATAGTTATACTCGTAGCTCAAATATATTGATACCTTTTAACAGAAAATTAGAAGTACGTAAACTACTTAGAACAAAAAAAATGCTAAAATCTAACGCCCTACAAGAAGCTTTCTGTTAAAATTAATACATTCCACTACTTCAATTACATTTTTATTAAGTTTGTGGATCATTTAACTGTTATTTTATTGAAATTTACTAGTTTTAATGACAAATGACTGAACAATTGAAAATCGTCGAAAAACGTTATGCTCAAAGATTGGTTATAAATGGTTTCCCTGGTTCTTTTATATTTGGGCAAACTATTTGTCATGGGTGCTACTCTTCTTCTATGAAAAAAACATTTAATATTATATATACCTCTTTAAATAATAAGAAATAAAGGTAAAGATTGGAACAGCCTCCAATATTTATCATCCAATTATTCGTTACTTACAATTCTTTTGAAATCAGTATTTCATTACTAGTAAATTAGTTTAAATACTTCTCTTCTACTCTATCTAATAGCAATTATATTTAATAAAACTTATCACACTCTGTTTTTAATAAAGATTTGGTATATAGGTAAATCAAGATAGTTTCGTCGTTGATTTGTACGCGGTAGAGGTGGGAGCGAGAGATATAACGGCTAAATCTCTCTATAACCTACTAAAAGACTTAGGCTTGTCCAGAACTCACTTTAATTCATTCTTAGAGCGTACATCGAAGGCAGTCCTAGTAGGTTCTTTTCAAATTTGGTAAGGTAGGGAGAGGAGTTTGGACAGTGGAGGTGAGCGTATAACGCGCGTTAGATAGGGGCCCCTTAAACCTACACCTGAGTTGCAAGTCCCAGGAACTGTTGAAGCTCGTCTCCCTGCAACGCGATGGACCCGGCACCGGCACGGTGAATCCATTGAATGCTAAGAGGTTTCGTCTCATAGTCATCACAGTTTAATATCAAGTTATTTTGCTTTATAATTGTATTTGTCATTAACAACTATTTAAACATCATCAACAAACAAAAGGGCTAAAGAATAAAATGTAATTAGTATTATTTGAAGAGATTCCAAAATAATAATATCGTAATTATTCTAAAATGAACAAACAAATATCTTCCCAACCATAATCCTTTGCAAAGCAGTTAGAGGACCATTGAAATAAAACCTCTTATTCATTTTGTATTTAGACTTCAACAATTATTAGTTGCCTTAACTATATATATTACTTATAGTTATAATATCAATTCTGTATAAATTTTAAGTAGGTACGATCAATGAATTTGTATAAATTATATCTGATAAAAAGATGTTTATCAAAATAAATGTTTGTTCTAATAACAATTAAATATCTCTATATGTATAATAGTATAGTATTAATAATGAAGTGTTTGTTGGTAAATTTATTTTTCAACTGTGTTTTCTTAAGGTTAGTGAATAATAGTTTAGAATGAAAGGTAATGATAAGAAACTCAAAACAGGTCAGAATTTAGTTTTTTTTTAATTTTCATATAACGCAATTGAAAAGTAAAAAGATATTTAATTTCATTTCAGGTCTTAAGCAAACGTTCACATATTTAGAGAATTTCTTTGGAATGGTATTAAAATACAGTCACCTCAATCAATTAAAAGTTTTCAAGGAGAAAAGTTTCATATTATAATAATGAGTCCCAGGAGAATCCCTTTTTGTTTCTAGGGCACAGAGTTTTCTCTCTTAAAGATAATAACTTCTGAGTTCATATATAACATCAATTTATTTCTCATTTAGGAACAGAAAATATACTTTAATTTTGATATTTGAAGTTTATTAGTTATAATTTAATCAAAATTAAGTCATTTTTACTGAGAACTATTGTTTTAACTTAACGATCTAACATAGATGTTTTCGTGAGTGTTTATCTGTGAAATTGCATCTATGAAATGAGTAGCGGCGCTTTCTGTATTCGAAAGTTATTTTCCTATAAATGATTCTTAGCGATTTTTGGTTAATATTTTTTCCATCGCTGTAAAACTATCGCGTCTTTTCAAAAACGATGTTAGGCGATTTTGGCCTAAAATTGGCCGATAAAGTTTTTCACGTGGACAAGTAAAATAAATTGTTAAAATAGATTACAGTTTTCACTGTTTTTTTATTAATAACAATTTTCAGTTATTTCACCCAAATTTAAATATTATTTAATAAACAGCTGTAACTTTCATTTACGAATATGGTACAAAACTTAACGTAGACATAAAGCCACTCGTAACATCGTGTGTAAACAGGAAGAACAAGATCAGCTCGCAACTCGAGAGTACCTCTTAAAAAACTTGAGTCACCGTTCACGGATGATAACAAAAAAAGACTACCTATCAGATACTTCCGTCTTTTCTGTTCATCACCACAGTTACTAGACCGTAGTTAAGGTATGAGGAAAAATATATAACAATAAAATACGAAAAATAAATTCGAAAAATGTAATTTCATTAAATTTTGTACTCGCGAAATTCTTATATTTCATTATTAAATTCTCATGCAAGGTTAAGTGGTATAAACATTAATCAAAATAAAATTAATAAAAATCTAGAATTATCTAGGTGCTTTTTATATGTCCTTCATTCACTGAATACTGTGTGTACAGTTAAACTGAGAACTGGAATATGATATTGATTAAATGTAGTGCTTATCATCGCACATACAGATTCCACTTTTAATCATTTTCTTTCTTTATTTAATGGTATTATAAATAAATAACTGAAAATACTTCTCTTTTTCTTTATTTCTTATACTTTAACTATATTTATTTTCTTATAGTCAAAACATATTATTAGTCTGTCTTTATCTCGTCACTTTATAATACTGTTCAAAGAAATTAAATACAAATCATTTATTGTATACAATATTCTCATATACATTTATACATAAGGTTAATTCAGGATTCACATATATATATAGTAAAACTATAATGTACGGCCATTATGACCTAGAATGTTAAAACTAAATGTCCATATCTAACATAAACGGCTTTCAGCTACATAACAATTGTTAATTTAATTGTAATGTAATTACAGATGTTCATACTTGGTCTTGCTCAAAAGAAAATTATGGTCAGTTAAAATGAATAACTTTTTCGAACAGTAATTCTTCGTTACAAAAATTAGTAAGTTAAATGAAAGTCTTACAATCAAAGCTTTATAAATATAACTCATTCAATTTTTTATATAAATATGACTATAATAAAATATTTGTCTCCATTATTTAAATTTATGTTTTAAGTCTTGTAAGTTCAAACTTAGCTGTTCAGATGAAACACTTACAGATAACTTGTTTTTTAAGAACTTAGCCTTGATTTTTTATACGTAATTGAAGTATGGCTGTAAATTTTTACATCGACTATTAAAACTTATGATGTAGATAAATAACATTAATGCTATCATTAGAATAACTGATTTTAATAAAGGTAAATAACGGGTCATAGTTACAATTTGAAATTTCAGGGACTCTTTAAAAACTTTTCATTTTATAAAAACAAGCACCATTTGTAAAACTGATAAAATATAGAAACATAATGTGAAAAACAGTAAATAACTTTATATATAACATAAGCAAGTTATGGTTTTCTTTGATAATAACAAAGGAATTTGAAGGTTTACATGAGGGTGACTGAGGATTTATTACAGAAATCTTCTCATTTTCATAATATATATATATTTATACTTGTATATCACGGTTCACATATAAACATACTCTTAAATCGGCGATTGGATGGAGACCGAATGGAAAACATCCGCAATACCCTTTATTATGCAAATTTCGTTTCGTATCTTGAATTCCATACTGAAAATTAAGGAACTAATGTCTATAAACATAAAATATTATTGGCACACACTCAAGGAATGATTCATCATGTATGTTTAAAATCATTCTATTAATGAAAGGCTTATTTTATTACTCTTTTTCAACTACATATATATTAAATATGTTAGTTTTTACCACCTCGGCGATCAGTTATTCAATAGAGGAAGGAAGAAACTCTTTGGTATCATTGATATATCAGATTTGAAATCTTCGAGTCCAGTCCGGGCCAGGACGAGAAGTTGAAGTGCTTTCCAACCTAAGGCATCAAAAATGTCTAGATCTAGAGATGGCTTAGTAAGCAGCCTATCTTGATTCTTCGAGCTGCAAGCGCTCACTACCTCACAAACGTCGTCATACGTGTGTGATATACATACTATGCCAAGAATCGGTTCCAGAACCGGCGCCATATATTCTGTTGGCGTACGAAGCTGCTGAACTTCTGGAGATCGGATGCATTGCTTTCCTTTATAGACAACTTGACATGGTACCTCACACAGGGAGCTTTGGTTAACGGAGCCGGGACTATCATGGATTGCCTAACTACTGTATAAATTGTATATTAGATTACGTCAGAGCTGTTTTATTTGGTTTAGCCGACGTTAGTTTTCATAAATTTATTTATAAATAACAACAGTTTTATAAGGATTAACGCTTGTTTCTTGAAGACTTTTTAAATTTAACTATTAGAAAAATTTATATCATAGAAAATATTGGGCTGAATATTCTGTATTCAAGAAACTTTTAAATCTTAGTCTCGTTGGTCTTAATGAAGTTGTTATAAAGTGTGATAAAAATAAATTATGATTATCATAGAACAGACATAATATATAGGTGAGACTACCTCTTGTTTGTTGTGGCAGGAGTGGGAATGCTTACCACAAATCCCCGCAGAGCCCACCCGAGGATAAAGTTTCAAGATTCGTTGTGTAAAATATCGCTCAATATTTTGGTTTTGATCTTCAAACGAGTTTTAAAATAAATTACCCCATCAAACGTATTATATAGTCGAAATTAAAAATGTATTTTCTGAAATTGGTTCTTTTGAAATCCTGAGGATTTAAACCTATTCCCGTTTTTTAAGCATTTAAAAATTTTCTCATTTTTATGTTTTCTGTATCAAATAAATTTGTTTTTCAACAAACCACCAAACACGTGAGTGTTGTGAGTGTCAAGTGCAGTCTAGATTCTCTTATGAAAATTTTTGGTATTGCAATTTATGTTTTTCTTCTTTTTAATATTTGTTAATTTTAATCACTATATATTAAACTAGAAGACCTGGCGAACTTCGTATCGCACTATAATCAAGAAATATCTATTACGTTTTTTTATTTATATTTTTGGAGTTTATCTGTAAGCCATAAATCTCCGTGTTTTGAAGTGCGACAGAATGATTGACATATTAGTTAGTTGTCAAATCTAATCTAAAAAAAACATTTGTATGGGAAATAGAAAGGGGTTGTTTTTATGGTTTTCCCAGTAATGAATCAATTTTTTTCAGCTTTTATACCTTCCCTGAATCTCCACGAACATTTCAAGACTAAGATAAGATAAATCCGTTCAGCTGTTTTCGAGTTTTAGCGAGACTAAGGAACAGCAATCCATTTTTATATGTATATATAGAAGAGAAGATATAAATAAATCACTTTTTCTTTTCTTTCAAGGCACTTTTTCCATTCGCTTGAGGATCAACCACTAACTTTTCTTTGCAATTTTATGCTCAAATAGAAATAGTTACGGTGCCATTCTAATTAATAAAAATAACGATCTGTCTTATGAACTCGCTTATTTTCAGCTGTAAAGGTATGAAACGAAGAGTTGCTATCGATTTCACGAGAAAGCGACATTAGCTGTTATCAAAGCAGTGGTACATTTTCCCCATACCTTTTTCGATACGGTATTCACGAATTTTATTACTTTTAAAATCATCACACATCAAAAGAGGCTGGACTCCTTAGTTACTATGATGGGGGTAAAGATTTCAATCTTACGATTTCAACAGATATAGTTTACAAGGAAGGTATAGCAATGGAGAATAATGCTTTTTTGTTCCACTACCCGAATTCAGAAACTCGAGAAATTCAATCAGTAGAATCCCACCAAGAACAAAGAAAAGAAAAGAGTTGATTGTTCGTAGATCAACAGTGATAGCACAAGAATAGTCGTTGCAATATAGTACAAACAATTACCCTACAATTATTTAACACTTAGATCAATGGACGGCATATCTTATATGCAAAAATAAAACTCGCTTAAGGCTAAACAACGCTTGCCGATTAAAATGCCGATAATAAAAATTATTTGACCTCAAAAGAGTGCTATCTAATGCATAAAAAAAGGAACGCCAAAAAATCAAGATCCGAAATATAAAACTCCTTTCAAAGTTTTTTAGAAAACGATAGGTAAAAGCTAACGTGTTTGATAATTATTGCTCAAATCGGATATATAAGTAATAAGTATACTCGTAAGTCGTACACTCACTCACAATAAAATTATCAAGAATTACTATCAACTCTGTCAGGGTTGCTGGAAACCTCAGAAACCTTAAAATCAAAAATTTGGGTTATGCCATTGACCTTTATTATAAAACTGGTTGTGGTCTTATGATGTAATTCTAATAAGTAATCATCGTTATTTAAGCACTCTCCTTAGCTACTTATAATCTTAAACTAAATTTAACACAGTATTATAATAAAATTTGTTACTCTAAAAATACATATAATAATAATTATATGCTCATTAATTACCTTCTACTATTTATATATAGCTAATAAATACTCCTATAATTAATTTATCTTCATACTTATATCAATAGCTATCAATAGACCATTACTGCTCCAATTTAGGTCTATTAAGCATCATTAGAATTATCGCCGGCAGTGCATTGCTAGCCTAATTATAATTTAGCAGTTTTATCGTTTTTGATCTATTTGAGCATAAAGTTAAATTTTAAAGGACTACAGTTTTTGCAAAAATAATACTTTGTCTACCTATGTCACATTTTTTCTTAAGAGACGTTCCACAAAAATCATCGGTTTATTACTAACAAGATATTATCAATTTTACAATAAATTAGCATGTGTGTAAACTATCAAATCAAATACAGCTTTCTTAGACGTTTTAAGTTTTATTATCCGAACAAATTTCACACAGAAATTCAGTGCTTACATATAATAAAGAAAAGAATACAAAAAATATTTAACGTCTGATAAAAGATCATGTTGTATATTTCAATAAATAACCTTCTCTGGGAACAATAATAATGAATTCAACGGAAAATGCTGATAATGCTAACAAACAAAATAACTTCAGTGAGTATATTATTAATAATGTTCGGTATTTAGACAGGTTAACGAAAACTTTTTTGGTTTTGCAAACTACTTTTATCTGAAGATGCAGATAATACTAAGATAAGAAATCGTAGCGGAATGATATTCAATATTGAAATATAAAGGAAGTGACGTACGAGTATGTACATAGATAAAAAAGGATTACAAATTTATGTAGACTATCGTAGCTTATATAGACAAAATGTCATATAAAATAAATGTAGTGCAGGTCCACACGTAGGCGCCAACAAATAACTAAATAGATAACTATGTATATATTTTACTCATGGAATTACATTGCATGAGTTGGATTTATTTCACAATTTTTAGTAGATTAATTATTATGATAGATAAACTATTTCAAACTCCTCAAAATTAAATGTTATGTAAAATTATTTAAGGAAGAATAATTCGTCGTATTAATTTGTCATGTATGTAACTATGACCGTATATTGCTATTATATTGAACGGATCCTGAATTATGGTACCCTTTAAAATTGATTTTGGGACCTTTTCAATCCTCGGCTTGTAAAAAATTAATGTAATTCTTATGTTAAGGGTCGGAAGTAAATTAAAAATGGGTCATGAAATTGTAATAAAAATTTTGACGTAATGCATGATAAAAAATTTACATCAGATCATATTCTTAAGATCGAATAATTTATGAGTTACGTAATTTAGAGTTAATATAAAACCTAAAGCTGAGAAATAATTAAAAATATATATTTCTAGATTAAATATTTATAAATGTTAGACGTATTTGTCAAAATTAAGAATTCATCAGCGGTAAACTATAGAAAATTAAGACTTACCGATGGATAATTTCATCTCGTCTGTCAAATAATAAAATATTTTATTGCAACCATATTTTAAGAAATAAAAAAACGAAGGAAAACAATGAGCATCAATGCAAAAATAATAAAATACGCAATTTAAACCCGAAAAAAATTGTTGTACATAATGAGTACATACTTGCGAAAGTATAAATAATTATCATTATTACAATTACTAATTCATTTTTTCACTTATGTTTCAATATTATGCAAAACCATTGATTGAGAATCATTATCAATATCATTCTTGTTAACTCGCTTTGTTTATGTAACTTTGTTTAATTATTGTTTATTGCCATTTAATTAAATTTCAAACATCATATAAGTAATTTGGTTCATTAAATAGCTCGTTGTTTATTTGAATTGTTAATTAATATATATGGTTATTGTGTATAACTAATTATTATCTACTAACAAATTTTGACTAGTTTGATTAAGCAAATTTACATTTTTTTCTTTCTGTATAATAAAGGCAAATATCTAATAGATATTTAATAGTTACGGTACATATAAGAAAAGAAAAAAAACCATTGTTATTCCAAGGGTAAGAAAGTAATAAAGAAATTGATTATAAAGGTGTGACTTTGGCATTTTAACAAAAGTCTCTTCAAAAGGTTCTTCTCTGAAATAACTTCGTACTTTAATTTCAAAATCGAATACTCTACCTGGTTTCGACATTCATATCAATACCCATCATAAATTAATATTAAAAATACTCTTTTTAACAAATTATTTATATTTTGCTTTCAATATCAAATCTTTGATGTAAAACTGTAATTTTTGATAGATTCTAAATATAACATCAAATAAAGAACTTCTTTCATGTTATAAAATAATTGCTCAATGAGGAATAAATCATCAGGAGGAGTATTTCAATCTTCAATAAACAGAATATCGAGTCTCAGTTGCGATGCTAATTAAACTATCATGTCCCTACTCGGGTTGCGGGACAAGAGGATAAACACATAGCTACATATATTGAAGCAACAACAATATGTGTAAGGCCAAAATTTTAGTTAAAACTAAAGATATTAAAGGTTAAACTTCTTCCAAGCGTCCGTACTTATGCTTATAATTATTAAAAGAATGTATTTTAATAAGCATGTTCTTTATAATCATGCAACTAAGTTTGATTCAACATAAACCAAAAGAAACATGAATTTTTTTATCAGATATTCGATCATCATTCAAACTCTGCCCGCAGTCGGGCTTAATTTTGTTTTGATTAATTAGCCAAAAATTTGTTCATGTCGGGCTCAACACAATATTTTATATAGATTGATTCAGCGATCCATGCACAAAATTTAATGTGTATACAGTCGTCAAAACAAGTTAAAA